GTGCCTGTAATTCCAGCTACTCAGGAGGCTGAGGCAGGAGAATTGCCTGAACCCAGGAGGCGGAGGCTGCGGTGAGCCGAGATCGTGCCATTGCACTCCAGCCTGGGTAACGAGAGCGAAACTCCGTCTCAAAAAAAAAAAAAAAAAGATCCTTATGAGTGCAAAAACAATTTTGATACCCAATAAAATTCTTTATTTCTCATGATAGGAGAACACTAGACGTTCTACAGATACTTCAAAATTTATATTTGGAACACATACAATGAAACTTAAAACATTAATCATAAGCACTTATATTTCCACATAGTGTGTGCACCTCCTTTCCTCATCCCTTGCCATGTCATTATCTTAATTTGGCAAAGCTCTCTGTTTACCATTCGCTAATATCTTTTTCCCTTCCTGTTTCTTGCTTTAGAATTGTTTGTGATTTATTTATGAAAGCTACAACAATACATATGAGAATGCTCTGTTTTTGATTCCTACATACACTTGCTGTATTAAAACAAATTATGTGATTATTGTTTACTTTTAAAGTCAATTCTCTAGAAATGCATTAGAGATCCATTATGTGCAAAAACCATATTAGAGGGATGCTGAGGTTTGGCAGGGAGTATGAATGTATAAGGGATAAATGCATAAGTCATGATCCCTTCTACTAATTCAGGTATAAATCAAGTACCTTTGTACATCTTACTTCCTCATATTGGAATGCCATTCTCTTAGTCTCTAACCACTGGAATCTTTTCATGCTCAGCTGCCTTCTTCTCTATGAAGTCATTCTGGACTTTTATAATCAAAGTTCATTACCCATCTGTACTCTCAAGAGGTTATCATATGTTTATATGGCATTAATCATTTTGCCCCTTTTAATTGTTGTTTTTGCTTTTATGTCTACTTTGACCCATTATATCAGTGCTGTGGGCATTCAATTTAAATTAAAGTGAAGTAGTATTAAGAATTCTGTTCTTAGGCCAGGCACAGTGGCTCACGCCTGTAATCCCAGCACTCTGGGAGGCCGAGGCAGGAGGATCACACAGTTAGGAGTTCAATACCAGCCTGACAACATGGTGAAACCCCATCCCTTAAAAAAAAAAAGAATTCAATTCTTCACCTGTACTAGCCACATTTCAATTCATTTTCTCACTAGCCACATTTCTCTAACAGTTGCTGTGTTGGATATCAGAGACTTACATCATTTCCACTATCACAGAAGGCTCTACTGGACAGTGCTATTGTAGATCGTGCACATCTTTGAAGGCGGTGGCCATAATATTGAAACTAATAAGGTTCCAAAATTAATAAAATAATAAGTCTAAAGGAGTTATATCACAGTGGTGGTGTGGGGCAAGAGCATGGTCAGGATTGTTTGGCAAATAGACACAGAGCTTTGTGTTATCTTCAGTGGGTTCTGTTCTATTTGAGAAGATTGCATTCTACTTTAAAGAAAGGCATGCATGTTATATCTGCTAAAATAAATAAAGGTACCAGGAATTTTAAATACCATAAAAATCATGTAGAACGTGTGCCTCAAATTTTAATAAATGTGGCCACAGTGAAGTAAACAGATTAGAGAGATAATATCAGATTTTTTTCTAACAGTTCAAATATCCATAATATCTAGTTTACATTTCTATTCAAAATTTCTTAGAAAAAGATTGTTTTAATGGCCCTCATATATAAGAATTCTAAGAAATTCTGCACTAACACTAAAGAAATGAGCACTCTTATTCTTTACTCATACAATGAAAAAGTAAGTTATTGTATTCACTTGAGCTTGAAAAATAACACATAAAATTATTCTTTTGGTAAAATATACTCCTTCGTTTTCTAAGTCCATAGCCATATAAAGCCATCAAATTTTACTCAATATATACATTGGTCTTCGATTTAAAGGTTGTCCAGAAAATGGCATGGATATTCTGCAAGGGGGATAGGCCTGGTACAGGGGAAGGAGCATGAATGTTGGAATTGGACTAACTGGGCTTTCAATCCCAACTTTGCCACTGACTGACATTGTTGTGTTGGGAGATGCTTAAGTACTCCAAATCTGAGGTCACTGATCTTTACCATACAAGTCTTTTACAAAGTTTATGAAAATGACCATAGAAGTAACAAGCAACTGTCTAGCATGCCCAGTATATGGCCTTTCAATACGGAGTTAAAAACCTGCCTTCCAGTCGCCTTTCATTACGTTCGCCACCTAATTATAGCCAAATGATGTGGGATTTCATACTTGAGTTTTTTTGATAAATGATTTTGTTTTAATCATTGTCTGTCTTTAGATCTTATCCATATTTCTTTGGTGACAACAATTATACCTAAGACAAAGTAATCTGAGCTCTCTATTGTTGGTTTTTTTGTGTTTTTATGCATATACCATATTGTTTTTGTTATTATAGTCTTGAAATAAAGTTTGAAATCTGGAAGTAAAAAAAAAAAAAGACAAAGTAAGGACAATTTTAATGGAGTTTTAAGACAGAGATAGCCTATGCTATTTAGCTTGAGTGTAGCTTACAATGACACAAAGCTCTCAAAATTAAAAGGAATTTTATAATAATACGTTCCACTTTATGTGCCAAGAGCAGCAACACTGTTTGATTGGGCTGGCCTGAAGAACTTTACTGTAGAGTAGCATCACTCACTTTTCTGAGGACCTAGAGCATGGGAGAGTTACATCCACTTGTATGTTGTTATGATAGGAGAAGGGATTAACAACATTCATTTGCCTGGTGTTGGGACCCTAAATTATAAGCAGCTCCATTCCAACACATACACACACACACACACACACACACACACACACACACACACACAATCTGACTTTTGTTTATTTTGAACCCCTTTTACAATGTCTACCTCTTTAACCATCTGATTTGCTTTGCGTGGCGTAGGGGAAAGGAGTGAGGTAGGCAGGTTTCTGAACCCCAGGCTTTGACTATACTTAATCTCTTAACTAAATAAAAGCCTTAGGTTTCTCATCTGTGTAATAAAAATAAAGATACTTACCTTGTATGATTATTTTGTTTTGAAGTTTAAATGAGAAATAGATGTTCTAAAAATTTCTGAAGTGATGCTTTCTTAGTAAGCATTAATCTTCCCCCTTCCTTACCTTTCTCAGAGTTATTTGTGAGGATTCAGTGAACTGATGTAATATATCATGAGAGGTGAAGAGCACAGAATTTGAATCAGATCTGAATTCAAATCTTGGCTCTGCCACTTATCAGCTGTGTGACCCTGGGGTATTATTCTATCTTTTATAATACTTTTTAAATTTTTAAAATGGGAATAATAATTCCTAGTTCATGCAGTTTTTGTGAGGATAATGTAAAGTGTATATAAATTTCTTTGTGCTAGCCCTGGTGTTTTCCATATATTACTAAGCTATTATGAAAGCACCCTACTCCAGTTACTATATGTAGCCTGACTTATGTTCAGCTTCTCTGAAGCTATCTTCCAAACGAGATCATGAGTTTCTGGAGGAACCAGATTCAACTCTGTTGAATTCTGAAGCATCATTGGAGTTGTGCTAAGTACATTATGCTGATGCCTGTTCAACTTTTGGCCAGTAGAATAAATGCCTGTTTTGTTTTTTTTGGTTTTTTGTTTTTTTTACCTACTTACCTATCAGCCACTATTCTTCGGATGGCCAATACGAACAAAACATTGGGTAAATTATTAATGTAAAAAAAGTTGAATCAAATTCATGGGCTGTCTAGGTATAATATCCCAGCAATTGTATTGTGTAACCAGAAACTTATAAATGATTAGTGACAAAAATTTCACTCATATTTGTATTATATATATATATATATATATATATATATATAAATTTATCTCATACTTAGGCCATATCTACTGAGCATAAGCAAAGAGGGAAGAACACAAAGTGATCAGGACGAGGAGAGGGTGAATGCCACCAGAGACTGGCTGGGCCATTGCTTTCCTAACCTTCATGTATGAATCTGTTAGTATTATTATTCACTTTTTGTTTAAAAATATTATTTTTGTAAAAGCGTCATGGCTGTGACATACTTAAAAATATATCTTTTTAATCAACTAAAATCAAGTATTTGGGAGCATGAAGGATTATTTTAAAATAACATATCGTAAGCCAACGAAGAACAGATAATCTTGGAAATAAATTTTTCCTTAGGATTCTTTAAAATAATAAAATACACTGCAAAATGTTTAAAGCATTTCCAAATCTTGCTTTGTCATGCAGTCTTTGCTTATGCAGCAGTGATCTTGTTGATGCCCTGTGCAATCTGTCATTTTATAGATTATCCCTACGAGGTAGATGTTAACCACTTCTTTTAAGAAAGGCAGAACACAAGACAGTTGAATGCTTTGTCTTGGATTTTCACAAAGTAAGAAACAATCAGAATGAGATATTTATAGTTTGGGCTCTCCTGCCTGATTTATTATTTTGAACTTTTTATGTGATTCTGTCTATGGAAAAATTGAAAAGTAAACAGATTTAGGGACTGATTGCTGTATAGACATTGTTTTCAGACTGCAAGAGAGACAAACTTCCACTTCCAGTTATTTCTGAATGACATTTCTCTGCAAACCAGCAAGGCTTGTTTTATCCAGGCTTGGCCAAATTAAATATGATCCCTGTATTTTTCCCTCATGTTTGGAGATCAAGCAAAATATTCATCATTACACTGTTTACTGAAGTGAAAACTTGTATGTGATTATATGAATGCCTAAATAGCCTTGAAGTGAAGACTGTCAAATTCAATAATACCTGGGATGATTGCACGTATTCTCCTCTACCACGTATTTGTAGCATTGGTTTGGAGGGCTAAAATTTTTGTTTTAGTCTTATAGAATTTCTTAAAATTTGTAAGATTTTTCAAATTCTCCTAAATATAATACATAAGGAACACTTTTTAGATAAATGCTGTGTAAAGTTAGCAAAAAAAAAAAAAAAATTTCCTGTACCTACTGATCTCAATATCTTTTCATTTCTCTGTTTGTTTTAAATTTAATTTTAGAGGACTGCTGAAGTATCAAACTAATTTAGATACCCACCCTCCCGGCTGCATCAATCTTAACCGAACCAGCTCTCAGAATATTTCCTTACCAGAGTATTTCTCAGAACATTTTCATGAACCTTTCCCTGAAGGATTTTCAAAATCAGAAGAGTTCGCTCAGAACACATTTGTGAAGATTTGTGTGGAAGAGCCCAGATTCCAAGCTAATTTTCCACAGGTCAGATTGATTTTGTGTTTTGATCTCTACAAAATTTGTTTCCATGTGATTGATCAACATCACATGTAAATATACTTTTCAAGCTATATATTCATGCATAGTAGGATATTTCAAGATGTTCCAACAGTGAGTGCCTATTATTCCATTACAGGTACCTGACAGTTCAAGGCAAAAGATCTATGATATTAGAGGATAGATAAGATTTCTACTTAACTGACCATATGACCTTTGCATATAATAGCATTGGTGCTTGTAGCCAAGAGAGGACAAACATTTTCCCATTAGTTGAGAAAAGTTGGTTGAATAATTAAAATAGTAGTAAAAAAAAAACCTACCACTACTACTACTGATTATTGTTTTACTTTATTATAATATTATGTATAATATTTTAAATAGTAAATAGCAGAATCCATTTATTGAATGCTTAATATTATCTGCTAGGCGTTGTGCTAAAATATCCTGTATGCATAATACAGAACATGTATTAGGCATACAGAATGTTTTTTGCAGCATTCACAAGTAATTAATATTATCCTCAATTGTCTAATAAAGAAATTGTGCTTACCTTGATCAAAGCCTCCAAACTAGTAAGTGACAGAAGAAGCATGCAAACCCAGGTCTTTGACTAATATGCTTGCTCCTCGAAAACTTTCATAAGTATTCAGCAATTGGTTCAGTAAGGGCCCTGATCTTCCTCTGTGTCTGTGGGAACTGCCCCCAGACAAATTACGCCTTTTATTCTTCATCTATATAAGGTGGAAATAGGAAATAGTGATGTCAAATGTCTCAATAAGGAAGAGAAGACAGAGACGTGAAAAGCTAGGATGAATTTGTGGATGACTTTGGAATAGTGTACTAGTCTTTTGTTTGTTATATTATTAATAATAATCCTCTAGATCCCTATTAGACTCTATAATTTTCTGAACTTTTCTGAGTTTCACATAATATTCACAAGTATTAGACAAGACAGGTATGGCGACTTTTGCTCATGTGGGACCTGTTGCTCAAAGGGTAAGTGACTGTCTCAAAGGTTGAGGCTGCTACATTGCAGAGCTTGTCGGGCAATGCTACTCATAACACAGTGTGGGGCCAAATGTTATTATATGCAGAAGAGGCATGATCTGTCTGCATGAAATAAGGAAGATTTGAAACAACTAAAGTGAGGCTTAAAAAGGTGGCCATTAAAAAGTTTTAGTTGGAGGCCTCAAAGGGATGTGAGAGAAGAGTGTGTAATTTTAGGAGAAGGGTTAGCCACATAGGCTTCTGCATTTTTCATAGTTTGTACTTATCCTGGGATCAGGGCTAACCATGTAACACATATTCAAAATTTTCATGGTTTCCCATTTTTAAATATTATTTTCTGTTCTTCTTATATTATATAAAAGTAAGTGGTAAACAACATGCCTAGCATATTGCATTTTTAAAAATATGCACGATACATATTTAACATGTGTACATATTATATGTATGAATATTATGCATATACATCATATACATTAAAAATCTAGGACTTTCTTTTTTAATAAACATGGGACTAATGCTTTATTTCTGAAATTATCCCCAGATTTATCTGACATTGTTAACTTTCCTTTCTTCTTTTATTAAATATATTGTTTATACACATTACATATCTGTAGGCATAAAAAGGTGTATAAAAGAATATATACTAATTTGTTTATGGTAGTTACACCCAGAGCGTGAGTTTGAGGGTAGGTTTTGATATTACTCTCCATTTTATTTTATACTTTTGTTTATTTGAATGATAGTGAACATCTAATATTTGTTACTCTTTTTTTTATGTTTTCTGATTTAAAATACAAATTAACATATTATTACCATAGTGTAAGCAATAAGCAATTGGGAAGGGTGTAGATTTCTACAATATGAGAGTTTCTTGAAGTTTATTTTCAAAAATTTATCTTAGACTTGGCTTTGGATTTCTGGACCTTTGTGCCTGTACTGTGCTGAAAGGCTTTACAGGTATATCCGGAGCAATAAGCCAGTCACCATCATTTCCGTCATAAGTCATCCCTCAGATGTCATGGAAATCCGAATGGTCAAAGAAAATTTTAAAGCAAGACCTGGCCAGGTGAGTCAGTGGTTAGCAACTTTTTAAATAGCCTTTATCCTTATGTAATTTTTGGAATTTAGCAAACATCGCATCATTGAAATAGTTGAAATTCTAAATTGGTCATTTAAAACTTATCTGTTTGTTGCTTTTTAGTATATTATTCTACATTGTCCCAGTGTATCTGCATTAGAAAATCATCCATTTACCCTCACAATGGTAAGAAACATATCTCTTGATTTTTCACATTTGTAGGGTGCTATGTATCTTTTTCTTTTTTGTGTCCTATCTCATTCTAAAAGGTATTCAAGGCTATCATAGTATTCCTGATGTTTAAGTAACTGTCCTTTTACAAGGAAAATAGTTATCTGTTCGAGAACTTTGTAATTATTCTTTATTATTTTTTTTGACACCTTACAATTCAGGAAGTAGTGAATTGAAATGTATTAAAGCTTGTTGATTCAAAATGTAGGCCAAGCACAATGACTCATGCCTATTAATTCCAGCACTCTGGGAGGTCAAGGCAGGAAGACCCTTGAGTCCAGGATTCCAAGATCAGCCTGAACAACATAAGGGGACCCCTTTTCTACAGTAAATTTTTAAAAAAAGAAGTCAGGTGTGGTGGTCCCAGCTACTAGAAAGGCTGAAGGAGGAGGATTCCTTGAGCCCCGGTGTTTGAGATTTCACTGAGCCGTGATCACACCACTACTCTCTAGCCTGGGCAAGACAGTAAGACCTTGTCCAAAAAAGAAATATATATATAAATTATATATATGTAAAAAATTTTGTGAATATTTACTCTTCTCCTTTTATATGGAAAATCTGATATTTACACCATTTTCTTTAGTAATTGAATTTAGGGGAAATGTAGATACTCTGGGTTGGGGTGGAAGCATTAAAAAAAAATACAGTGTTTAGAAAAGGTAAAATCCAGTGTAATGGGAGACAGAATGGGAAGTAAAATTAGAAAAATCAAACGGAGTAAATAATGGCATGGGAGGGCATCTAGCTAAATAATGGACAGCATCAAATATGATTAGCTAATCAGCATATTGTTTAATATTATTATCAAAATAGCATGAGCTCATTTTGAAAATTTAAACAATTCACAGATATAAAATAAAATAGAAACTTAAAATTATTTTTTCCCCACTTCCCAATCCTTTACTCTGAAATTTGATGTGTCTTTCCAGATATCTTCCCATCTGCTTCTGCATATATGAGTGTCTAACATTTGTTTACTGGATCATATTGTTTTGTAATGGGCTCCTTTCACCTAACAACATATGATGGACATCTTCCCATATTACTATATGTGCCTCATTCATGTTAATGACTGTGTAATATTCCACAGTGGGAAAGTACTGTAATTTATTTGATATTCTCATTGATGATGGAGATTTGGACTTTATTCAGTTTTTAAGAAAGACATTTGAGAACCGAGACCACATGTTTACATGTATGCTTAAGACAAACAAATTGGGGTGTGGGGAAAGGCAAAAAAATAACTAATGACAAAGGGCTGAGATTTGAAAGTAGGGTTGTACTGTGAATGGGAATCATTTTCAAATTGGATGTATTATTCAAGTTGAAAATTCTGATATTCAAGTGAATATTCTGAAACCTTGGGCAAATTGCTTCAGCTGGTTGTAAATTTGGTTCCTCAGTGTAATATTGAGATAAAAACGCTACGTATTCATAGATACTTTTTGTAGATTTAAGGGAACCATTATAAACTAAGGCATGTAGAAGACCTCCTGGAACAAGAAAATGTCAGGTACACGCAAATACATGGTAGCAATTATTATGACTTTGATTTTCAGAGTTTACCCCTTGAGAAATATATGCTTGTGCAGACAGCTAGACCAGAAAGTTCCATATTTAAAGGACCAAAGAGAAGGGAAGTGTCAAATCAAACCAGAAGCCATTCATTCGATAGCATTTCTTAAAAAGAAAAAAAAAATGATTTCTGCTTCATTTGCTTCAAGTTTTGCATTCTGTGTGTAGTAAACTTGTTTATTAATGATTAGGAAGAAGTTTGACATCCAGTGACATAATGAGCAACATTCGGTTGTATCAAGAAATATAGCAAAACTGATCTACCATGAGGACTGAATTAATTGATAATTGTTTCCCCAATAATAATGATAGGTGAGTTCAGACCCCATTTCATCTGGGGCTGCATTGTGGCTGGCTGGAGTAAGAGGATAAATACGTTATCAGGAGGCGTAGAGAAAATGTAGTTGCCTGCATGGAATATAAAATTGAGATCTTAATGTCTTTAGGACATAGCTCTCTTCGGATACTAAACAGCCATATCATGTCCATCCTTCCTGTAGGATATGCATGCCTTACAAGGTGGTTTAATAAAATTATCTTTGTTCCAGGAGGCTTGGGCAATATACCTTACTAACACATGCTCAGGTTTGGGCTTTCAGCTGAATTATGTTTTATTTCTGATAGTTGTAAAACATGTTCCCATCTATCTGCATCCATATATCCCATATATGTAAAATTGGTAACACAAAAATAGAAGGGAATAATTGAAAAGAGAGAAAATACACAAGTTTGTCCTTACTTAAATAGTTTAAGAAGTTTGGCCTAATCCTGGGGTCCTAAGAGATTTACTTCAGAATTTAACTTTCCCTTGTGTTGGCAACTTAATTTTGAAAATTATTTATTCAGCATTAAATAGAGAATATGAAATAAGAAAATAAATCAGTTGCTAAATACCAAGTACAGAGAAGAGAGGATTTTTTGTTACTTTTTAAAACTATTTTTCAATGTACACAAAAGTAGAAAGAAGAGTATAAAGAACCCTTATGTATTTATCAAAACTATAGAGGATACTTTACTTTTTAGTATATACTCTATCACTAAAACATTTTTGGCTTTCTTAAAACAGTATGTCAAAGAATTTTTCACCTATATTCATACTGAAGTGAGGCTTCTAGATCGAATTTCTTTCCACAGGCCTAGGCCTTTTCACAAGGCAAAGGGAAAATACAAAGAAGTGATGTGTAGAGCTGGAAGGGCTTTTAAGTCAGTGCCTTCTGTGGCCTGGCCTGCTTCTTAAAGGGTGATTATGGTAACAGGTGTGATAGCTCTGTAGCCAGCTTGAGGCACAGATGGGAAGAAAAGAAAAAGGAGAGAAGGGAATGTAGGTAACAGACAGAAGAAAAGGAACTGGGGGTAGGAGATGGCTGAGAAAGGAAAACCAAATTATATGTGACATAAAATAGTAGTAACTGTTCACACAAAGGGCAAAAACATTAGAATTCATTTTCAGCTCCTTCCGTTGTTACTGCTATGTCTGTGAGTACATCTCTCAACCCTGCTAAGGCTCAGTTTCAGCATCGGCAAAACAGTGCTAGTGATACTTACCTGGAGGGGCATCCTTGATATTGTCAATATTAGTGAACGAAATCATGTGTGTAAAACCCTTGGCACATCATTATTGGTCAGTACTTGGTAATAAAGATATTATTATTATTTTCATAATCTTAAAATATCTGGTTTTAACTTGGATTATTGCTTTCATTTATGAAATTATTCATTTTTAAGAAGTAAGTACAAGACATGAGCATGTGGTTTTTCAACTTGAAAATGAGAAACTGGGAATACGAGAGTAGTTTCAGTTATCTGAAAATCTGTCCTATGGGTGAAGGATCTTTTTTTTCTTTTAGGATCCCAATAGGCAAAAAGTTTTAGGAAAATTCATTTTGATTTAACATAATAAAGACATTTCTAACAATGAGACCATTCTAGAAATTACAAAGAGCTGTCTCACAGGAGTATTTGCAAGGATGATTGCACTAAATCAGGATTTTTTCAATCATGGCAATATTGACATGTTGGATCAGATAATTCTTTGATGGGATGTGTTGTGCTGTGTATTATAGGAAGTTTTGCAGCCTTTTTAACATTGATCCACTAGATGACAATAGTATCCCCACTGTGACTGACAAAATTGTCTCCAAATGTAACCAGGTGCCTTCTGAGGGGCAAAATCACCTACAGTTGACAACCACCGCATTAGATCAGTAGTTGGTCAACACAGCTTCCAATCCTGAAGGGCTCCAGGATGTTCTTTTAGAGGCCACTGTGAGAAAGGAGAATTTAAGGACAATAGAGAAGTTGAGGGATGGGAGTGCATAGCTTGTGTTCTGGAGACACCAATCACGTCAATGAGAACAGCTCACTTTTAAACGGTCTCTGTTAGGAGGATTCTGCTAAAGTGCTCATATAAACATCATCATCTAAAAACATATTTTCTTACTCAACTAGAATCCTTTTTGGAATTCCATGAAAATTATTTTGGTTACCATGAATTCCTGATGCTTTCATGTGATGTAGACCTTTGAAAGAGAATTTGATTATTTTTCAAATTCAAAAAAATTTTTTTTTGTATTCACTGTCATCAATGCCCAAATAACAGTTTGGATATGAATCAAAAAGAAAAGTGGGAGAGCAGTATAAATATCTGACAGGTTCATCAAGAATTAAAATAACACGAGGATAGCCTCATGTACTTGATATTTTTGTCATATAAATGAAAGCTTTGTTTTCCCCCCTATGGGGTCTCAAAGTGTAAAAATAGGAACAGTACATTGTTCTTGGAGAACAAATATTGGTTTAGTGAACACGTTGGGAAATAATGTGTTTTAATTGGTGGAAAAAGACAAGAGAGCTTCCCTCACTTCAGGGAAGCTCCTTTAGGTGTATGAGGCTCTGGAGCCTGTGGGTTGCCTCCTCTAGCAAAGGACATGTCACCCTGGGCCTCGACTCTTGAGGAAGCCCAGGGAGCCCTCAGCATGAAGGCTCTGAGTCCATTGCAGGCTTGTTTCAGAAGATTCAGATTCAGAAGTGCATGAGATGAAGATAAAGAAGTTGGATGTCTGCAGTCTATATCCATCATAGTTTTTCTTTTCTTTTCACTTAAGAAAAAATTTTCTTATTTCTTCTGGTTGTATAAGAATTTTTTACCAAAATGACAAAAAGGAGAAAAAGGGATAATTGTAGTAAACCAGGTTTTGGAGACCACTTCTTTGATTCCTTTAAAGAAATGTTGTTCTTTGAAAATTATCCCAGATGTTGGGAGGTGGCATTGGAAGAAGGAAGGAAGGAAGGAATGAAGGAAGGAAGGAAGGAAGGAAGGAAGGAAGGAAGGAAAGGAAGGAAGGAAGGAAGGAAGGAAATAAGGGAGGGAGGGAGGAGAA